AAAGAAAGAAAGAAAGAAAGAAAGAAAGAAAGAAAGAAAGAAAGAAAGAAAGAAAGAAATTTGGCTCAGTAATTTGCCTAAAAGAGCAGAATTAAGATTTGAACCCAAACCACTTGGATTCCGAATTCTGCTGAAATACCACACCCCAGGACTCAGGGTAACACTTGGTTTCTCCAAGTGCAACCCATGAACCTACTCACAAAAGCAGCACAAGCCCATTCTAGACTTGGAAAATAGATGTTCTCATAGTAAGGCTGAGAAATCCACATTTATAGTGTGGTTACATATACCAAAGTCTAAGAAGCCTGGTGAGGTAAAGGGCAAAGTATCAGAACAATGAGACCTGACGGTCCTACATCTTCCTCTCTAACCTTACAGCCAGGGATGACTGATAAACTCTGTTCTTCTCACTATAATACAGAACAAAGCACAACTAACACAGAGAATGTCTGTAAAAACTGTATTTTAAGTGTGCTTACTAAGGACTGGCAAGATAGCTCAGCTGACTAAATGCTTGCCTAAGCAAAAGCAGGGAACCGGATTCCATCCCTAGCACCACATGCCATGCCAGCCTTGCCCTTGGCTGTGCTGAGCTGGCCACCGAGACTGGGCAAGGTGGCGAAGCCTGTAATCTCAGTGCTGGAGAGGCTGAAAACAGGAAGATAACAAGTCTGAGCTTTGTAGTGAGACCCTGTACAAAATATATAAAAAATAAAATAAAATGCACATATTAAAGTATGCCTTTATTATGTGCATTTTAATATTAATATTAATACTTTATTAATATTATCAAGACCACTATGCTAATGGGTTTGTCTTGGAGGGTAGAATCAAACCCCATCATCACATAATCAAACTAAAAAATAGAAAAATCTAAGCTTCTTCCATGATTGAGGACCCTGAGCCAGGAAATCCTTCCAGGTAGTCAGGCCCAAAGACAGGTGCTGCCATGTGAGACTTTGCCCGTGTATCAGGAGAACGTGTCATGTTGGAGCCCATGAGAGGGGGTAACAGAAATGCCCCAGAGTTCTTTGGGTAAGTAAATTCCCAGATGGCCAGACAATACCTTGAAGCTTGGCTGGTGGCACACAAGAGATGGAGCAGCGTTTCAGAAAGCCGGTGCCATCTGAGCAGGAGAAATTTGCATAGTTCACCAAAGACGGGTCAGGGATGCCACAGTCGAGAGGCACACAGCTCACATCCTGGTCCCAGAGTCCAGCAGCGCAGGTGAGCAGATGCTCCTAGAAATACAGAATTTGCCCCTGTCAATGTCATATGCATAGGCTACTGGAAGAGGTTTTAGGCTTTGGAAGAGTCCTGGTAGGCTTTTGCCTAGATGTTCAAGTTGGGAAAACTTACCTCTCTCCTTGTGGACACCTCCTTGTTTAAATGTACAGTCTCACAACACCCAGGTACGACACTGATGAAAAAGCCTCTGAGCGAAGGAGAACCATCAGATAGCAATGTCCTCCCCTTGCTCGTCCAAGTCTTTTCTGTGCTCCTCTCTACCTTGTGCTGTGCCTGGGGGTCCTGATGACTCTGCACCGGGCACAGCAGCAGGAGATTGGTTAGAGAGGGGACCAGCCAGAGGATTTATTCTCTGCAGGTCTTCCACAGGGAGGTGCTGCAGCAGGGCAGTGCTACCCATGGCCACCCTCAAAACCATCCACTCCTTCTGTCTGTTGGTTCTGCTGCTGCCTACAGTAACACTTCAGGCTGCAGTCAAGCCCCTTCAGGGCTACTGCACCACCTGCTGTGATTTCCCACACTTCCCATGCCTTTATTAAATTTGTGCGGATTGCCTTCTTGGGAGCATGTCATCTGCTTCCCATTGGCACCCTTATTAAGCCAAACTGATAATGCTACTGAAAATAATCAACGCTGAGAAAAGTGCTCAGCATCTGAGAACGGATGAGAGTTAGTGCATCTAAGGTGTCTTCCATGCCCTGTGGTTAAGTGGGAGCTCTTCCTACCATTTCTGGGCTATGGGCAGCCCTCGAGCTGGATGCTACTCACTAAATGAAAAGATGCTTTTGAGTTACCTAGAAAGACCAGGTCCCCCATTAAACAAGATGCCCTCCTTCATGGAGCTGAATAGCTACCGGAGGAGCAAATCACATATTGAAACAGTTGCTTAAAAAAGGCGTAAAAGGAGCCGGGGAGATAGCTCAGGGGGATAAGTGCTACCCTGGCAAGTGCAAGGACCTGAGTTCAGGCCCTGGTTATGAAAACAAAAAAAATGTTTAAAAGAGGATAATGGAAAGAAGAGAAAAAGAGAGAAGGCAAAAAGGAAGCAAAGAAAGAGTCCATTTCAGATGTGGCAGGGCACCTCTGTCACTGCAGCACTTGAGAGCTGAGACATGAGGACTGTGAGTCTGAGGCCAGCTGGACTATTGAGTTCTCTCTCTCTCTCTCTCTCTCTCTCTCTCTCTCTCTCTCTCTCTCTCTCTCTCTCGGCAAGTTAAAGTATATATTCTTGTGTGTCCTGTTTAAAGCCTTCTTCCTCATTTTATATAATTATACAGAATATAATGTAAAGAATGTCAACAATAAAGTAGATGATGTCAAAAACGAATATGGGAAGGAAAAATATAACTGTTCAAAGGTAAAGCCACCGTGTGTGCTGCCGCCATGTGGATGGAGGTGGACAGTGCTGTGTGGGCTGGGAGAGGGGCTGCCTGCCCTGGGTAGGAAGGCAGAGCCCTTGGGAGGAGGGCATAAGGTAAGGGTGACCTGCAAGAGGGTGTGCACTTGGCAGCAACTCAAGGAAGGTTGGAAAAGAAGGCATCTAGTTTGGGGATAAAATAAGACTGAGGAATCCTGAGGCTCATGCCTTTTGGGGGGAAAGCACAGCAGTTGCTTTAGTACTGGGTTCAAGGTTAGAGGCAAGGAGGGTTATTTTGGAGACCAGAGCGGCACCACAGCCAAAGGTCACCTGCCGCCCCTGCCACCAGCTCCTGGCTGTGGCTCATTCCTGCTTCCCAGTGTTTTCCTGCTGCCTGCCAGAAGGATCCAGGTCAAATCCAAACACATTTTTCTACTTAGCTTCACTTCTTGTGTCAACAACAAGCAAATATCCCCACTGTCTCATGATCATGAGCTAGGCTTGTAAGTTGTCCTCCACGGGCCAGTCTCAGGTGACAAGAGTGGGCAGTGAGTGGCAGAGCTCTGTGGTCGAAGCCACCATATCGCTGGCAAAAAGCGAGCTCACATCTTTCTCCCCCAGCCAGATTCTGCCCCATGGACACCATCACAGCCCAAGCCTGGTTCAAGCTATAACAAGCCACTAATTGTCTTAAATATGTCTCTTTAATTCTGCGTCTTCTGCCAGGTTTTCCCTCTGGCTTTGCAGGTACATCCATACTGTCTTACTTTGCTCCTAATTTAACACTGCACTTGCTTCTCTCTGCCTTACCTATCATGCCAGACCTGTTTAGTCCCTACTTTCCCTGTTCCTCTTTATTCTTTGTGCCTTACTTTAATGCACACATATTTTAACTGAACTAAGACCAGCTAAGAGCAGCTCATAAGAGCTTTGCTTTTCTAACTGAAATTTCCTAAAGCAATAAGTTCATTCTTTAAAAGACAATAAGGCTATTTCTAGGCAGAATTGAAGTTCTTTGAGATTCAAGGTTGTGTCTTTCTGACCATTTTTAAGCAAGCAAAATACTTTCATGTATTCACAACCCATTAAACAAACAAGTGACACAAAATTATTTTTTTAAAAATCCAATCTTCCACATAGTTTATATCTGACCTACAATCACACATCTATTCTTTTCTGATGATATATCTTCATGGTTTTCTTCTTGAACCCTATTATCTTTTGCCTAGTGCCTCTCTTTTAATCTCAACATATGGCCATGTTTTCTAAATGTTGGTTTCATGTTTTAATTCCCTTGTAGAATGTTGCAATTTCACTAAAACAAAATTAGAAAACAACATTCACAGGAAAACATTATTATGCTGATAATAATGGCAGTTTATCAGAGTGTCATGTGCCTATCATTTCACAGGAAGCTTTTACATCATTTCCAGCTAGTATTCTTAATAATGCAATGAAATAAGTACTTGCATTTCACTTATTTTACAAATGTGCAAACAAGCTTGATGAGTTTCTTTTATGTGCCTTTTCCTAGTTATATGTCTTATAATGAGCAGAGTTGAAATTTCATTCAAGTCTGTCTCTTGAAACATGATCTTAACAATATATTCTATTATCTTCAAACTACATTGAAGTCTTGGAAATGGTGTTACAGCAATTTGGAATGGGACTTGGAGAATGCAGAAATATAGACAATTCAGCCAAAGCTAGTATCGTGATAGAATCTCTGCCTCAGTAAAAGATTTAATACTTGTGGGGTGAAATCATTGCTGTGTTTCTCCAGTCTTTTTGTAAGGAATCACAGAAACATTGATTACAATATATCTTTCCTGCAAATTATGAATGGTTGTATATCTTTGCATTCTTATCTCACAGTTGAAAGTGGAGAACACCATTTCTGGCAAGAAGACAAGAAAAAGGAAAATAGAAAAAGCATTCATATCTACTGCCTACCTAGAGAGCAAATTCACAACCTAATAAACAGACTTGTAATCTTTTATATTCCTTGTGTTTTTATTAAGCCATGCTTTTTTTGCATAAGATAGCCTAAGTTTTCCCTTTCAAATGGCTTATAAACACCTGCCATTCCCCAGTGAAGCCAGACAAAAAAGACATAAGTAGCTTCATTCCCAGGAGCATGGTTTTGATGAGCATGGGCTTCCAACTCACCTGAATGGGACTGAGGTACTGCCCACTCCTGGTCTGCAGGGCAAAGCCCCTGTTACAAGTGATAGCACACTTCATGTGACCTGGGCTGTCAGAGGTACAGTTCACCATGTCCGTGTTGTCAAGTAGCAGTGGTACACAGCTGGCTGGCTTTCCACAGTGCTGGTGGACACAGCTGGAGATGACAAAAGCAGAAGCATTTGTTGTGGCTTACATCTAGATGTTCCCCCAAAGTCTCCTGTGCTCATAGGTGGGGCTTTAGGGAGGTGACTGGATCCAGGGTGTGTGATACTGGGTTAGATCACTGATTGGTTTAGCACAATTGTGAGTGTAGATGACAGATTTACTGAAGAGGATAGACCTGTCCTGGATGTGTGTAACAGCAGCCAAAAACCTGGATGAAATGGAAAGAGAGTAGAAGAAAATCTCCCTACTTCCTGCCTGCCACAATGAAGTGTTTCTCCTCTCTCATGTCCTTTTGCCATGTTTCTTTGTCTTGAAACCAGCCAGTTATGGACTGAATTTCTACAAAATGTGAGTTAGAATAAATGTTGCATACTTTAATTTGTGGGTGCTGAGTATTTCAGCCCAGCAATGCAAAATATAACTAAGCATCATAGAACTGGCTCAAAACCAATAGCAGCAGTGACTTCATGGCTGTCTCTAGGAAGCACAATTAAAGACAATAGTCTCTCTTTAAAATTGACATTTAACACCTCACCTTGTGTATTTCCTAGGACCACAGAAATGATAAACATAAACAATATCAGCTAGTGAGTAACAATTAACCAACTTTGCATGACTCTTCTAGGAGAATCATTGGTGACAGGATGAAGTTGGGAACAGATCTCAGGAGGAGGTCTCGATGATACTAGAAATGAACAGATCAGGGGATGATGCTTGAAGTATTGAACAATCAGCACTGCTCAGTCCCAGACAACCTGCACAGATCCAGAGCAAAACTCAGGAGTGAATCCCGGAGATCCCTGGTTGTGTCAGGCACCAATCATTAGATGTTCAATTACAGACAGGTCCTAGTGGGTGCTGAAAAAAGGTCCTGGCTATCTGAGACAACAGAAAATATAACATCTCTTTACCAACTGAGAAGGAAATATTTTGCCTACTGGTATAGCTGAAGCAGTACTCATCATTGGATACCAGTAATACTAATTATAAATTGGGTCAACCAATGGAAGAAGAAAGTCACACACTCTGAATCCCTATGAAATGCCTGACACAACACAGACATCATCTCAACCAAGCACTGTTTGTGGGTCAATAAGACCAACCAGTCAGGAACAGGAGAGATGTGCAAACTCCCAGGGTTCAAGAAGACACAGCCTATACTTGCATAACAGCAAGGATGCAATGGAGCAAGAAGAACGTAAACCTCCTGCCATGGCTGAACCAGAGATTAAAAATAAAAGTGTTAGCACCAAGCTAATGAGTTTGCATTCTGTATATTCTATTGGCTATCTACATGATGTGGAGTGAATTACTCATTTTTGTAGCATTTCAGTTCCTTCTCCTATAAGATGAGATCATGTCTTAGTCACTTCCTTCATCACTGGGACAAGAAACCTGACACCCACAACTTCAAGGATGAGAAGCTGGTTTTGGCTCCTGATTTTTAGAGGAGTCAGTCTATGTTCAGCTGGTGCCAAAAGGGAAGGTTCTAGCAGAACAAAGCTGCTCATGTCACAGTAGCTGGAAAGCAGACGGGAAGGTTAGAGTTGGGGAAAGAGTGGCACGCCCTTCCAGGTCATGCTCCCAGTAACATACCTCTTCTGACTAAACCCTCTTCTGTGGATTAATCAATCTACTGATGAGTACAATGCCCCATGATCCAGCACCTTCCGGTAGTCAGTATCGTAAGTGGGAGACAGTATAGGTGTCATAATTGCACATATTTTGTAACTATTCCCAGGTTAATTTCCTCTGCTGCTCCATTGCCGATGGCCCAAGCATCAGTGACCTGTTTGCTGTTGATTGCCCTACTTTGTCATTCTCTTTTGTATTTTTACTGGATTGGTCAAGATTTCTAAAAGGCTTTCCTCTTGCAAGAAGCTCTGAGGATATCTTCCTCATTCAAACCTCCCAGTGAAATTATAAAAATAACTACCTTCTAACATTTTTTTAGTCTATCTTGTACTATGTATGCATTTTGTTGTTCTTAAGTTAATGCTTATTCACCTCTTTATCCAAATGCAATTAGTAATTGAGTATTAAGTTGAGCTCATACTAAAGTATGAACTTCTTGAAGAGAAATAGTACCTCTCACCCACTTTTATAGTCCCCATACCCTTTGCTGTAGTAGATGCAAGAAAAACATACTGAACCGGATTTCATATTGCAGACAGAAAAGTAAGAGAATGGTTATTAAAATGGGAAACATGCTAAATGGTGATAGATAGGGGTCTGAATATAAAAATATCATCTAACAATGATTCTACCATCTTGCCCCATTCATTCGTTCATCAGTAAACATTTGCTAAGCACTTGCTTTTACAAGGCATTGCTCTGATCACTGGTATAACAAGGACCATTCACTTAAGGCACAGAAAGAAGGACAAGAAGGGAGGGAGACACCTACAAATTACTTTCTAACAAAGATGTTTGCTTGCTCTTGATGTTGTTGTCAGTGGTGCTAATTACTAGCCAAAGGGACTAGTGATTCTTATCAATAGTGTTCTCTATTTGCCCTTGAATTGTGTTGGTAGTCAAGGATTACATCAAAGAGCAAGGAAAATATAAAAGAAAGTGAAAAATAAAATATCATTTAACATACACATATATAACTGAGTGTTGATGAAAAAAGCAGTAGCCCTAGATGATCTGATTGGATCTGACTGTGATAAATAGCTTCCCCTAGCCTTATACCCATGAGATTAAAATCATTTGTGTTATTCATGCTTGCTAGGTATGTGATGGGGGAACACGAGGTGAGTAATGTAAAATAAACTTTTTGCTCCTTTGTTCCTTGTGATGTTGTGGTGCCCATCACGTGACCTGAAGGGGAGACAAATAAATGAATTGAGGGAGGGGGAGTTGCTCATGGGAGCATGAATTCCTCAAATCCAATGCTGATTGTAGGGCATGCAATATAAGAAATAAATCTTTATCTCTGAGTTTGCATTTAGTGTCTTGATAAAAGCATCAAAGCCTGGCCATCTTTTATGGGATGAGAACAGAATACCTCTCTAGTGATGCTAAAGAACTCCAAGCTCTATTAACACCTTGGTTCCTGGGAGTCGATTGCCAAGAAATGAATGTGAAAGGCTCCATGCTTTTGTCAGTGACTTCATCCAAGTAATTCATATTACTGAGGACGAACACAGGCTGAGACAAGACAGAAAGCAAATAATTAAGTGAGCCTCCTCCCATCAAGATGGGGTGAACTGCAGGAAGTCCAGCCACTTGACGCCAGTGTTGGCAGCAGAGGAACAGGGAAGGAACAGCAAGACGGGGAGCATGGTGGAGGGGAAAGTGGCCCGAAAGAAGACCAAGACCAGAGAAAAAGAAAAACAAAGAAGGACCAAACCCAGACCTGTTTATGAAGTGAGAAATGGTTTTAGGGCAGCTGCTGCAAATTCTTTCACTAGCTTATATTTCCATTTGCTTCCTTTTTAAGGAATTTGTTTTATGAGGACGGTGTTTGTCAGGTCGTTAGCTTCTGGTGGCATCTGGTACCAATTGAACACTTCTCTCTCTTGTACCCCAGGCCTTAACCCCCTTTGGTGTCCCTCTTCCACTATAAACACTGTCCCTCAGAGTGAAGACGCAGTGAGGGCGTTTCTAGCATCCCACCCTTCCCCAGGCTACAGTGGCCGTGGTATCATAGACACGCTAAGAACAAAACTGTTTCATCTTAAAGCTGTCTTCCTATGGTCCTTGGACAAAGTTAATGAAAATGGCAGAAGGTTGCCCCAGAGTGCCCCAGAGAGGTGAGTAGAAATGTATTTATCTTGGTTTGACATAGAAGGAAACTAAAGCTGTGTGGAGACCGGCTGGAGGCCACACAGTAAGCCAGAGGAAAATCTCCAGTTGCATCTCCAAGCCATGCCACTTGGGGCCTGCCTAAGCTGGGCAGCCACTACCTCCACAGTGAAGTGACTTTTCTGCTGCTTTTTCCCCCTTCAGGAGCTAGTGATTCAAGCAGGAATAAGCAAGGGAAATCCTCAGCAGGGCAGGGAAAGGGGCAGGATAGAATGTTTGTCCATTACAGTTCTGGAAGCTTTCCCTTAAACAATAGCAATGCAGCTGCCACAGGCCACAAGCACCCTGTAAGTGAGTCCTGCTTTGGCAATACCATGGCACCCTTCTATCTGCTTTTGCAAGATCTTTCCTACACCTCATCACACTGTGTTCTCAGGTGGGGCTATGATGCACCCCATCAGATGGGATTCAGATATTTCCACTCAAACAAGGAACAAAACATGAAATTTTTCATCATGGAATTTCAAATCAGTGGGCCCTAAGAGGTCACACTATGTAGATGACCACCTATCCATAATTGTGGCTTTATTCTATGGCTCTCTTCTTCTTTTAGTAAGCTCTACTTTTTCTTCTAGTTCTCACTTCTATAGTTTAAAGGTTAGAAAAAAATGGTTTCCATTGCAATATATATCCCTGTTCAAT